GGGTGAGCCTTGTCCTGTGCCGGTGCCCCGGTGCCTGCCAGCACCCCGTACCTATCTCTACCCCGGCATCCCGTGGGGAGAGGGATGGCACCCTCCAGGCCGGGGCGGCATACTAAGACCAGCCACCTCTGCATCCCATGGAGACAGGAAGGGTCCCCAGCACCAGTCCAAGCCCCGAGGGGCCGGGCTCTTGCAGGATCCCCTGACTCACTGCAGACTCTTTTCTCCACAGCCTGCGGCCCCGCAGCCCCGCCGGACAGCGAGATCCCTGCCCACACCTGCACCGTCTACCGGCCCTGGTTCTCGCCCTACAGCTACTTCATGTCCACCAAAGGGGCCGCCCAGCAGCGCCTGGGCAGCCTCTCCTCCAGCCTGACTGCCAGAGCCCAGGAGCCCGAGGAGCCCGATGACTTCTCGGAGATCGTCTGCTCCTCCTCTGGCTCCTCAGACAAGCCCTGGCCCCCTGAGAGAGACAGGCAGGACAGCGGCAGAGCCAGCATCACGGTCCGGGACATCCTCACCGCTTCCCAGTGGCAGCCGGAGCCCCAGAGTGGCTACCAGTGCATGTCATGCTGCCGCGTCTTCCCCACGCTGTGGTCGGTCAAGACCCACATCCAGCACAGCTCCCAGGAGGGCTACAGCTGCAAGGTGTACTACCGCAGGCTCAAGGCCCTGTGGGAGAAGGAGCACAAGGAGCAGGAGGCTGCAGCCCCCAGGGTGCCGGGGTAGCCCCGCCAGCGGGGCAGCCGCCGCGGGAGGGCACTGCTCCATCGCTCCTGCCAGCGGCAGAATAAATTGTTTTAGGAGCAGCCGGCCCTGTCTGCCTGCTGCTCTTGCCTACACAACACTTCCGACACCCTTTAAGAGAAGCTCTTCCCGACTTTTCCTTCCCCAGCAGCCAAAAATCTCCCGAGCCCCTGAAAGCGCTGCTTAGCATCTCTGCGGAGAGCTGGGATCTTGAGCTGTCAGGTCAGCCCTGAGACGAGCCTGCGCTGCGCAGTGGCTGAAGGGGCAGGCTGAAGCCCCTCTACTCCCATTTGGGGCACCTCGCTTTCACGGCTGGCACCACAAGCAAGCGTCCCGCAGGGGAGGATGCTTAGGTTGGAGAGGGTCTTGTGCAAGGCCAAGGGATGCCACCACCGGTGCAGATTCCCAGTGTGAAGTGGGAGAGAAGTCCAGAAAGAAAGAGAGTCAGCGAGAAGGAACAGACAACAGAAAGTCTTGAGAAATAGAAAGATTTATTTAGCAAAAGCCAGTTGACTAATGACAACACCCAAAGGTTAAGTGCACTTACATTGACAGATTGGTTTCCCAGATAGATTGAGTCAACAGTTAGTAACACGACAGTTGTAGGAAAAGGAAGGACAAAAAATATAGCTATAAATCCTCAGTCAAGGTCCATAACAAAAGAAAGAGGCTAAAGAGGCGTCTTGGAGGCAGCGCTGAGTTAGGAGGAGGACCATTTACACATGTACACCCGCGGCATGGCGGGACGCTGGCAGGGTCCC